GCGAGTGAGAGTGGGAGAGTGTGTGTGAGTGTGAGTGAAAGTGGGGGGAGAGTGAGAGAGTGAGCATCTGAGAGCACAAAGTACTACACCTGCCACGAAATCTGCACTTCGAGGTTCACCTGCCACGAAATCTGCACTTCGAGGTTCACCATGCACTGCACCTGCCACGAAATCTGCACTTCGAGCTTCACCAAGTGCTGCGCCTGCCACGAAATCTGCACTTCGAGGTTCACAAAGTGCTGTGCCACGAAATCTGTTCATCAAGTGCTGCGCCTGCCACGAAATCTGCACTTCGAGGTTCACCATGCTGTGCCTGCCACGAACTCTGCGCTTCGAGGTTCACCAAGTGCTGCGTCTGCCACGAAATCTGCACTTCGAGGCTCACCAAGTGCTGCGCCTGCCACGAAATCTGCACTTTGAGGTTCACCAAGTGCTGTGCCTGCCACGAAATCTACACTTCGAGGTTCACAAAGCTCTGCGCGTGCCACGAAATCTGCACATCGAGGGTCACAGAGTTCTGTGCCTGCCACGAAATCTGCAAACGAGCCACATGTCCAGAAGTCACGATTCATTGCACCTGTCACGAAATCTGAGCTCCTGCCACGAAAACTGCATTTCGAAGTAAAACAGCTCCGATCCCTTGCGCCTGTCACTAAAAGTCAACTTTGGAGCACCAAAGCACAAGGTTTCCCTTGCACCTCACGAAAAGTGACCACCATGTGCAAAAATGCGCACGGCACCACAACGAGAGCGCAGTCGCCAGAAGCACCCGCCTCAGCCACCCAGTTTCTGCGAGCCTGCGCAGTCGAAGTGCACATGGATGATGTCGAGAGGCACGAATGTACTGTAAATAGCAACGACTTAGCCGGTCACGGCCGCGCGCTTCAGCGATCTAAGCATCAGCTGCCTTTCCCTTACCGTAAGAAGAGTGCCCACACTGTATGGGGAACAATTCCAACTGCATGAGGCTGGTGCCGGAATGTGTCGGATACTTTACACAAAATGCTTGCTTTCAACTTCATATCCTCTCTGTCAAAGTGGATTTCACAGGAACATTCCAGCAAAGACAACCCAACTCATGTCAAAGCCTAGGCTGACTGTAGAACGGTTCAAGTTTTTGGCTGGTGGGGACATTCGCCAATGCCTGTACACGCTGCGCGTTATTTGTATGATGCTGTGGCCTGTAATTTCTTTGAGGCCCTACATTATGTTTGATGCCTTTGACAATGGACGTCGTCGAGTTCGATTGAGAGCTTGAGCATTGCAGCCAAAAACCCTTGTGCCTCGTGTTGATGTGCTTGGAGCAAAACGAGCATCACTGAGCGGCTGCAAGCACGTTCATCTACACAGAACAGTTTGCATGCGAGACAGAAACTCATGATGCAGACAAATCCAGGAGATCTACTCCAGTCGTGCAGATGGTGACCATGCAGCAATCACTGCTCATGTGCGCCACAATTTGTTTAATTTGATAACATGTCTCATTTAAGCAATATGCCTTCTTGAATAGGTGGCCACAATCCAGAAGGAGCTGGGAGTTGAAGAGCATGGACCCCAGTTCCGGTGCTTGTTATGGCAATTGAACCGACGACAAACATAGAGAAACTGAGGCCAATTGCGCCTGAGTTCGTGAAACGCTTCTGCCAGAACGCTCTCTACTGCGAGGCCAGTTGGCTATAGTTTGAAGAGTATGGAAAAGTCAACGCTTGCGTGATCAAAAACAAAGCCTTTTGGTTTCAGGTATTTCGGTTCAGGACACTTGAAGAGGAATACCGCCTGGCTCTTGGCGCGTCTGTAAAGTCTTTCGTGGTAGATTCATTTCAAGAAGTGTTGAGCAACAGCAAGGCCCTTGCCTTGAGGGTGGCCTTGACTTGGAGAGTGAGTTGCAGGACTCCCACAGAATTATAGTCAAGGTCAGGTAGTAGGCAGGGATTCCTATGCCTACTACTGGCGCTTTTCAGGTACAATTTGTGATTTTCATAAAGTTGCCCGAGAGGGGGTATTGGTGGAAGAAGGGGCAGTAAGCAGGAGGGGAAGAAAAGGAATCATATAGGGAACTACAGTAGTAAGCAGGCGCTACATCTGCATACTACTGTGCAGCATTTTGAAGTGGCACAAGCTCCAACTGGTTTGTCAACTTCTGAACTGTCAGATCACAGACTCCTCTATGATTGGGGGCACTATATGCAAAAAGCCTGTCTTACCACAAATGACTATCTGACAGTTCAGATTTGCACCCCTTTACTATGGAGCTTAGCCAGTAGGATGGAAATTTACTGAAGCCGGTGAATAACTTAATGATCAACGTATAGAATTTGTATACGTTTTAAAATACATAAGTAACTGACACGTGGAAACAAAGAGAGAAAGATAGAGAAAGGCAAATAGAGGGAGTAGTAAGCAGGCGCTACATCTGCATACTACTGTCCAGCAATTTAGGGAGTGGCACAAGCTCCAACTGGTCTTGTCAACTTCTGAACTGTCAGATCGCAAATTCCTCTATTATTGGGGGCACTATATGTATATAGCCTGTCTTCCCACAAATGACTATCTGACAGTTCAGATCTGCATCCCTTTACTATGGAGCTTTGCCAGCGGGAGTGAAAAGATACGCGAAAACAATGAATAACGCCGGAATGACAGGATATCAATAAGTATGCATGGAAATTTGATGAAGCCAGTAAATAATTCAATGAGGAAACTATATATAGAATTGCTCTAATGTTTTAATACTTAACTGACCACCTGGGAACTCAGAGAGAAAGGGAAATAGAGGGATCTTGAAGGGGCGGAAGCCAAAAGCAAGTGCAAAAAGTGTGAATTTCCAAAAGGGGTTTGATTGTTCCATGAATGCAAAGGGATGGCAGTAAGCAGGAAGCAAGCAAGCAATGAAAAAATGATGTTCATGATACGGCACTTAAGGAGGCCTCCTGCTTACATTTCGTTCGGTAAGATTTCTGCCTACTACCTGACCTTGACTATAGAATTATATATACATGATTCTCCTCATTTTCGTATATTTTCGTGGGGGGGGTATGCAACCCTTTTGGAGAGGTTGGGGAGTTTGTGTTTTTGGTCAAGCTGGTAAGGTTCTGCAACAATGCTCGCAGAGTGCTTTAGCTATCTTAACAATTGGGTGTATTGTGGGTTAGTTTGTAAGACGCTTTGTGATTCTAGATCTTGGTGAGTTTCTGCTGCAAATTTTCAGCTCACGGAGATTTCTGCCTGGTACGTGATGGAACCTGAAGCTTTTCAGATACGTACCCGGTGGAGGCAAACGACAGAGGGCACAGAAACAAACATTCATTCTGCCTGGGTGCTTGCTTCCATATTCGTGAAGCGACCTTACGTGGCAACCCATATCGGACAAATGTGCGCCGCTTCTTTGGAAACTTGTTGCGTGAGAAGTCGCCAACCCGAAAGGGTTCTTGTCGCTTAGGCCCGACGCTCCACAAAAGAGATGTCGAGAGGAGAGAACAGCCTGCAAGGTCCATGGGCTCACAGGTGGGCAGACTGGGTGTTTGCAAGGTGGGTGAATCTTTTGTGCTTCCTGCACTAACAGCTAACAGTGTTGCAGAAGGATATGGTCAGCGGCGGCCAAACTCAAAGGACTTGCCGGGTCCCAGGATCAAGCCAATACAAAATTAGATGTTAGAATCGGAGGCTTCATGAGGCAAAGGCCCGTGAGGCTCATACACCTGCCAGAGAAAGTTGGCTGCTTGACTTGGCAAAGACGAGCTGTCGAATGAGAGCTCTGCCCGCTGGTAAACCCTGATGGGCTTCGCCAGTATCTTTGGCCTCCCGTCGGCGATGTTAGAAGAGCCACTCGATGGCTTCAGAAGATGTTGCGCCGCAAGGAAGCAAGCTCTGAGGTGTTTCTCAAGATATCTTTTTGACGGCCCACTTCTTTGGCCTTAACCATGGCAGCTCATGTTTTTTGCCTCGTGGCTCGCTTGGGGTGGACCGCAGAGGCTCACTGCCTTGCCAAGGCCTATATAAAATATGCCATACCTTGGCCATGTGAGTCAATTTTTGGCACGACGCCAGGAGGTGTTGCAGGTTGAGATGAAGCAGGTACTTTGCTGCAGACGATTCGTCCCTTCAAACACGAGATGACTTTCTTTGTGTCGCCGAATGAGCGCGGAGCACTGGTTAGATGCTTTTGGCAGCTTCGCGTTTGAAATGCGGCGCCTGCTGACCGCAACTTTGGCAAGCGGAGCCGGCAATCTGTGCACAAGGCCTCTCGCTTGCTCGATGTCATGACAGATATCATGCACGGGTGAGAAGTTGCGTCCCTGATGAAGGGAGGCTTGTAGAAGTGCCTGCGTGGAAGCGTTGTAACAGTTGATTGGAAGTTTGTGGGCGCAAACCCTGCGTGTGATGGCCTCATGAAAGCCTCGAAAGCCACATTGTCGGGCAGGACTGGTCTTCAGATGTGGCGCTGTTTCATTCTTTACATGGCAGTGGGAGAGCTTGGAAGAAGTGTGCTGCTCCTGGGTTCCAATTGCCGTGCGCGCGGACTTGCCCTGGAACCCAAGTGGCGAGAGTTGATGCTGCAGTGGACTTCGTGTTTTCAGTGTGTCGAGCGCTTCTGGCTATTGGGGTACTCGTAAGGGTTGCTACTGCCGTGAGGAACTCTTGGCAAGTGAGTCTTCGAACTGCCATGCCGAAAGTGCTGGGTCTGGGACTTGTACCTGAAGGCCGCAGGATGCCACAGGTTAATGTACTCTCGTTGGGTTTCCCTGAATTCCTTCGGGAGCTTTGGCTGGCGCCAGTCAAGACAAAATACCTGCAGGGTGTTTGGGTGGGAGTGGAGGAACAAATCGCTCGAGGACGATCAACAAGATTTCAGGCAGTGTGGCGCCAAGGTTTTGGGTCTGGGTGAAGAGGTTATGCTGCGTGAAAATATATTATTCAAACATTTGCGCGCAAAAGTTCAGCTATGCAAGACAAACGCCAGGCTTTTGATGATGCAAATTTTTCAACAAAGCGACGTAGTCTCTGTTGATTGTGTGGTGCGCATTTGAATAAAACTTTTGGGACAACATTTTGCGCAAGAGTGAGCAAATTACGTGAGCAGCTTGGCCCCAACTGGGGTTGGTGGGGCTCACGCCCCTTGGTCACCCTGGTCAAGTGCGGTGGAAGGAGTTTGGGCAACACTGTGTAGTCAACAAATAACTGTAAACTGTATATTATTTGTTTTTCTGTCAAAAGCAAAGCAGTGCGACGTCACAGGACGAAGATTCGTTGGCGTCCTGGTGCCCTGTTGATAAGCCTATGGGAGTGATGTTCTAGGTTTGTTGCTGCAGCAGATTCGCACTTTTCGCCGCTGCAGGTACGTGGTGCTCAGAGCAGTGGACAAGTTCCGGGAGGACAGGAAATTAATTAGCCGAAACCGAAATAAGAGTTTGGATGCTTTGAGACTTGCGAGCCCGCAATTGTGGAACAGTTGCAGACTGGCGGCGCACCTTTAAATCAAGTCAACTTCCTCTTTTCCGTTGCCTTCAAGTAATGTCAGGAGCAAGGCAACTGGCCTGGAGCCACTTGCATTGACCTCAGGTTTCCTAGCATAGCGTGCAAGACGCACACCAGGAAGTACATGTAGGAGCCTAGTCTGCACGGGTGGTTTCGGCCTTGCCATTGCAGAATGCTTTCAAAAGCAATGTTCATTTCAATTTTTTGAGACCAAACAAACAATTTTCTTTGAGCCTGGAAGACATCAGTGCATGACAAATGCCTGACGGGTTGCAGAACCTTCCTCAAGAGCTGTAGCGGAAATTCCTTTCGTCTCCGTTTTGGTGGAGCAGTTGCTTGGGAGGACTCAACTGCAGAGCCAATGTCGCAAAGACCATACTTGTTACAGTATATAAAGTTTAATAGCTGGCTTGTGTTGGAGACTCAGACGGGTGAACTTGGATCATGTTGGATCACAACTGCATCTTGACAATGGATCTACTTCTGGGCACATGCCAGTAGAATGCAATCAGGATGATGTGCAGGTGATATAGCATTTGATTTGCCAGCCATGCTGCTCAGTCCGGACCATTAGAAAATCACACATTAATTATCAATTTTGCGGCTTTAAAGGAAACATATTGAATGGAACCCATATGGAAAAACAATGGACATCCGTAGTCTTTCAAGAGGGATTTCCTATGATTCAGCCGATGATCTCCACGCTCATAGAACGTGTAAATGATCTGACCAAAGCAGAAACAGCAACACTTGCTTTTTTGATTGCCTTGGTTCGGCTTTGGT